ACGTACTGACATAGAACTCCCAGGTGTAAAATCAGGGTTGACCCGCAGCCATAGGTTAGCTGTGGGTTACAAGAATTAGCAAAAATTAGCGAACGGACTTGTGAGTGCCAACTGGCTAAACAGATTTTAAGATAAAAAGCACTGTCCATGATATTATTTGTAAATCATAAGCTATTTTAATTTTTCCATTGGTAAAATTTATAGCCAACTGAGGTACATATATATGTATGTGTACACACACACACACACACACACACACACACACACACACACACACATCCTGGAGGGCTGGCAATGAAACCTTTAGCAGCACGACACTGGCGCTGTGTTAGTAAGATAGCCAGTCCCTGACTTGTGGAACTGTCAGCCTTGTAGGGGAGACAGACAGACAAGGAGTAGCCCACCCACATAAGGGGATGCGTGATGCAGGTCAGGATGGAGAACGCGCCACGGGCCTGGGCAGGAGGACCGTGCGGGCCTGGCAGGGGGACCATCCGGGCCTGGCAAGGCCAGGGCAGACTGTGTGGGGCTGACAAGGGAGGGGCCGGGATGAGACCGCCCGGGTTGTGTGCCAGCGACAGAAGGCACCTTACAAAGTCATCTTTGTTCTGGTGTCCCTTGGTTTTGCTCAAACTCTCTTGCTAGATGTGGGTTAGTCGATTAGCCACATTTCATGGGACACAAAATCAAGCTAAGGATGGAAAGCAGCAGAGGAAGAAAGTGACCCTCTGAGCTCGTTCTTTTCTAGATTTGGGCTGTTCCTCAGTGCAGCGGGGACCCCTGATCCAACCCCGTCTGACTACATACTCCTCTCTTCAGCCGACAGCTTCCCAACCGCTACCAGCACCGGGTGACACTCTAACAAAACCAAGAAGGGGCGCTCCGAGGCCCGAGGGGGCCACACGGGAAAACCCGACGGCGGTCCGTCTCCTGCGTTTTCGCTCCCGCCGGCGCTCGGGCACACGGGGGCCTGACCCGATGAGACGGCGTCCGTGCCCTCCTGGAGCTCGGCTGCTCGGGCTCCCAAAGACCCTCCGACAAGTGACTCACCCTGGAGGCCACGAGCTGCAGCTGCGGCACGACGGCCGTGTGGACGAGGTTCCCGTTCACCACCAGGCGGATCTCCATGGAGTCGGTGGTGAAGGCCAGGAGGTACGGGAAGGCGCAGACTGCAAGGCAACGGGGCACGTCAGCCCCCAGCCCGCCGGCTTGGGGCCCTCGCCGCCCCGGACGCTCCCGTCTCCCCCATTTCTCTGGCTGCTTCTCTCCCTCCTCCCCGGGCATGTCCCCCCTGCTTCTACGAGCGCCTCATTCCCGAGGCAGCCTCCCCTCAGCTGGCAGGCTTCCGCCTGAAGCAGCCGTGCGTGGTCTCCATTTCTCCTTGTCCCCGTCTCTACTGCGGTCTCACAGGCCGGTCTCCTGGAGGCTCACCGGCCCAAGTCCCGACAGACATTCCCCCTCCTTGTCCAGGCTACAGCGCGGCCCTCTCCTCCGGTCCGTGCTGTTCTGCCCGGAACCCCGGCCTTCAGTGGCTCTTCCCGCTCTGTCACTTGTTTCCTCCTCCGTGCTCCTCCAGTCACGTATGCCCGAGCAGGGGCCATGTCCTCACTGTCCCTCACAGGGTGCTTCGGAGTCAATGGGGTTGCTGAGTTATTTGTTAAAGGTCAGCCCCTCTTTTTGAAGTGGTTTTTTATGCCACACTGACTTCCAGGCCCCCAAACTGCCCTGGCTGCCCTGGGCCCTCACCTTTGACTTCCCCGCTGGCCACTTCACTCTCCTACGCTCCCTCACTCTGGCCTGCTCTCTCTTTGCTCTCTCCGTGGTCAACTCCCTCCTCTCGTGGCTTTACCCAGGGGACGTTCTCTCACACCCTGCCTCTCGCCTTGCTCTCTTAAGTGACCTCCAATGTTGGGGCTCAAAAAACCTGAAAGCGATTTTCAATCCTTCCTTCTCTCTCTCTTTAGCCAGATCTCATCCATCACCGAAGCCTGACTAGATCCTCCAGTATCTGGATGGGGTCCTCTGTTCTCAAGACCCCAGAATGTTTGCCTACCGTCACATCCTTGGCCTTGGAGGAAAACAGCACTGACTCGAACATTCTTGGCTCTGATCCGACTCTCACCAGGCAGATGCCCAGCTGCGGATCCTGCACCCCAGAAGGGAAGCACCACCTCTCACACCCTGATGTTTCAGGGGCAGGCAAAGCACCCGAGTTTCTGGGACTCTTGGTTTTCGAGCTCTAAAATACGTTAAGCACGGCACGGGATGCCTTGGGCTTCTCCAATCAGTCAGTGTTTTAGGGCTGGAGATCTCGTGCTCAAATTGTAGGAAAAGGAAAGCGAAGCCCAGAAATGAAATGATACTGAAAGATACCCAAGTCCTGAAAATCGGGATTTCGTTGATCTCAAATGCTCCCATGCTCCCAGCTGGGAGGCACAGTGGGTGGCAACAGTCCCAAAGGGGGAAGAGAAAGGAAAACAATTGAAAAAGGAAAAGAACACTCTGAGCACTCCTCATACTCACGTAACTCATGGCAGTCCAGCAGCAAGCCAGTAAGTTGGCTGACATAGGACCGAACAGATCAGATGGGTCCACGGGGGGGGGGGGGGGGAGGGCAAAACGATCGAGGGTTTTCTTACCAATTGCATAAGGAGCCTGGTTCCAGCAGAACTGGAAATCTGACGCACAGGGTTGAACCAAAAAAGAGCCCCCATTAAATGGGCAAACCTTTTTATAGATGCAACTGTCTGCAACAAAACAACAGCGACTCATTTTTTTGTTAGAGACAACGCTTAGGGCCGGGTAATTAGATATTTGAAAAACAGGCAACCAGAATAGCATCCTATCTGCTAGGTCTTCACAGACAGCCGGTACTAACCCTGCCACGACGCCAGGTTCTCAGGCCGGGAGGCAGTCGGAGCCGTGGCCATGACACTACAAGCACTGGCGGCTGCATTTGGGAAGGATTTACTGTGTGCAGGGCACTGAGCTTTACAAAAGTTAGCTTATTTAGTCTGAATGCTTTGAAGCAGGTGCCATGATTATACTCCTTGTGCAGATGGCGAGACTGAGGCCAGGAGAGGTGAAGCGGCTGGTCCAGAGTCTCACAAGTACCACCCGGGGGGGGGGGGGCAGGGTTTGAACAGAGGTGTGCTGGACTGCAGAGAAGAAGGGACACTTGGTGACGGGGCCGCCTGGACGGAGGAGGCCCTCCCGCCTCACTCAGCAGGACAAGCATGGTGGGAGCTGGATACTCCCGCCACTGGCTCCCAACACCCCCCCCCCCCCAACATTTTGCTAGGAAAACTTGAAGCCATGTGCCTGTGTCACCTTGGGGAACATGGCCAGAATTAGATTAAGGCCAGGCTGAACAGCCGCCCGTTCCTGGCCTGCTCTGAGCTCGAAGCACAGGTCCAGGTGGCTCAGATCCTCTCAGAGTGAGAAGGTCCGTACAGAAGCAAAAGCTCCTTTTATTCCAGAAGCCCATCATGTTTTACCTGTACAATCTTATTTTTAATTGAATTATTTTTAATTATTTTAAAAAACAGGTTCACGGAGCTATAATTTATATGCTATAAAATCCATCCACGTTAAGTGTACAATTCACTGTATTTTCTGTAAATTTACAGAGGTGTGCAATGCCACGGTCCAATTTTATGACCTCTCTCTGACCCTAAAAAGAAACTGCACGCCCGCGAAGCAGCCACTCCCACCCCTGGCTGGAACGCAGAGCTGTGTCCCCGCTGTGTGGCGAGGCACGTGTGTGAAAGCTGGAGCTGCTGGGCAGGGCCTGAAGGCTTCAGGAACTGGTTCCTCCTCTCATGATGCCTTTCTGGAGACTTCCTTCCCTGGAGCCACTCCTCAGCCCACTGGCTCCTCTCACTCTCCCTCCCCACATCCCCGCTTCTGGTGATTCTAAGTGTCACCTACATGCTGATGGCTCCCAAATGAAGGTGCCCCGTGGGCACTCTCCCGAGTCCCTGGGGTCTCCTCTAGCGTATCGGGGAGGCACTGATGTGTCCAAACTCAGCTCTTGATGTTCCCTCATCTCAGGAAATGGTATTCTCCATTTTTCCAGTTGCTCCTGTTCCCAGGGACAGCCTCCCTTCTCTCCTCCCCCACACGCCCTGCTGGATTCGTCAAGCAAATGATCTTGGCTCCCGTATTTCAAACACCCCTGGGGCTGGACCACATCTCAGCACCTCCGCTGCTGTGTGCTGGTACAAGCCCCTGCCATCTGTCATCCCACGAGTGCAGGCACGAGCTTCCGTGAAGTTCTCCGCACAGTGGCCCACGGTCCTTTCACCCATAAGTCCCATCCTGTCGCCCCTCTGCTCAAAATCCTCTGGCTGCTCCCCAGAGTAAGAGGCTCTTCATCTCCCAGGCGCCCCCCCCCCCCCCGCCCCCAAATCTGGTCCTCTTCAGATACCATTTTCATCCACTCACACCTACACTCACTCTGCTGGGGCCACACCAGTCAATGAAATACTAGAATGTTCCTGGAACACAAACCCCTTCTTGACTCCCTCAGGGTCTTCTCTCCGAGCGCCCCTCCCAGGCAGGCCTTCCTTCGCCACTTTCCCTAAATGGACACCTGCACTCCCCAACTCCTGAACCCCGGTCCCTCTCCGTTTTATTCCCCTTAGCACCTACTACCGTTCAACATACTGGATGTTTTTCTTGTCCTGTTAATTGTCTACCTGCCCTTAAAAGGTACACTCTGAGAGGCAGGGATCTGTGTATATTTTACTCACTGCCGAAACACCGAGGCATCTTAGGTGCTTAGTAAATATCTGCTGAATGAGTAAATGGCCCTTCCCTCCCTGTCCCCACTCAGGAAGGACAGGTCAGAGATGTGTCCCTCAAGGCTCCGGTCCCTTACACACACCTCCTCTCCACCCCCGAGGCCTGCCCCAACTCCCATCAGAGGCCAGCAAACTGCTGGTGGGTTTGAGGGGGTCTGGGGTGGAGGAGACCTGAACTTGGGGAGCACAGAGCATGCCGGATGGCGGAGAGCAGTGTGAATGTGCCTCGGGGGCTCAGCCTGTCCCACGGTGAAGCTGTCGGCCTGAGAAACGGTCACACAGGCATGGATGAGGTGCCCCAGACTGCAGTTCAGGGGACCCTCCCCTCCCCCTTCCACCTGAATAAGCCCCAGCGACTCCAATAGGTCCCCAGAGATATAGACGGCTCTCCCTCCTGATAACCAATACTGGTGGTTTCTGTACCTGAGGCCGGGGGGGCGGGGAGGGGGGGCTCCAAATCAGACCGAATTGATTTAGAAAAGTAAGCAAGGCAGGTCTCTCGAGGCCCAGAGCTGTGAAGCACGTTCACACCCAGGGTGCTGGCGCCCATGCCTGGCTCTCCCCTAAACTGTGAGCTCACTGCGGTCCCTGGCAGCTCCGTTCACTGCCGTGTCTCCAGAATCTAACTCGTGCCTGGCACAGAGAAGGTCATCTGTTGTGGTTTAAAAAGGAAAGCCTGGATCAGGGGCTGGGGTGAAGGGCAGGATTCTGAAAATGTCACAGGAAGCAGCTAGGAGTCCTTGACCTTCACTCCTTTGACTTTGCCCATCCGGCTGGCGGGGAGTGAGCAGGTGACAGACACTATCTCTAGTGTTAAAACGAATTTCCCTGAAGTCCCTTTCTGCGTGTAGAAGAGCCTACGGAGGTTACCAAACAAACTGGATTCTGACTGCTGCTCTGATGAATCTGGAGTTAAAAGGAGGAAAGAGAAAATCTTGCTGTGCCTGGCAACGTGTTATGGACTTCACTGGTAAGATCCTGTTAACCTGCATAGCAGTCACGAGTGGTGGGTTCTGTATTCTTCACGTGACTCATCTGGAAGTTAAGACATAGGTTAGATAGGCTCACACTGAGAACAGCACTTACGTGAGCTTTTCTGGTTTCCTTGCACGATTATCTTTAAAACACCATCAGCAAACAGAGTTCACCTTTCGTAGCGAGATTTATCATTTGCATTAAGTGTGAATCATTACTGCATGCTAAGGTCACAGCCAAGTTTTCTTTCTTTTTAAGTAGACTGACTCTGATATTCAAGATAGAAATGAATCACAAGAAAATAAGATCATCCGTTGAACTACTTACACTTTGTCCCCCTGAAATTTACCGTGCAAATACACTTTTCTCAAAGAACATATAACTGGAAGTTGTAATTTCTATTACAAAATACTTTCATCTTTAACATATCTGAGATAAAAATCTCTTTCTACGACACTCTGAATTTATAAAAGCTATTTGTTACTTCGTTTTGTTTTTTAATAGAAAGGAAGCTGATAAAAATCAGCTGCAAACACTGCAGGGAGCAAGATCATTCTACAGCACCCTGTTGACAAGGGCCTTTACTGCACAGGCGTCTGATGAAAACAAGCGAACGCAGCAGCCAGTGCGTGTGGGGGAAGGAGTTACAGAAGTGGCCTGGGTGACCGTGGGGAAAACCAACTGGTTCTCTGGGGTTGTTCACCGGGGACCTGGCAGCCTTCTGGGAGAAGGAGGGAGATGGAAAAGGAAAGCCAGATTCCGGACCCAGAGAAACGGACAGAAGTGGCACTGTTTGGGGAAGACAGAGGCAGGTCTGGGAATCTCCGGGATTGCTAAGGCCTTGACCCATGTGGCATCTAAAGACACAGAGCTTATCTTCTGACGGCTCAGTGGGTCTAGGAAAACAGACATACACCGATCCCATGCTGAGATGAAACCAGAGCCTGAAGCCAGGAGACCACCAAAGCCAGGGGTAATGACCTGGAGAGGCCACTTGAACCACACCTGGCACAGCCCTGGGCCACTCCCGCCCAGGGGAACCCAGTCTGCTCCCGTCCATATGCTTCCAGTGTGGTACAGAGAGGATGTCCATCCACATTTGTTTCCGTGTTCCCTTTTCATCTTGGGACTAATCATCCCATTCTGATAACCTGCTCTGTCTTTCTGTTCTGATTTTCTCTCCCACCTAAAATCCTTCCTATCAAGCAGTTAAAAGAAAAAAAAAAATTGACATCAGTTTGTAAAGCATTTGGCCACAAGTTTTTCTCACAGATTTTTCAATACATTGAAAAGGCTACCCTTTAAAGCGATTAAAGAAAAAGATAAAGAGATTTTCTATAAGTGACTTCAAACACGTGTCCCCCCACTCCGCTGGGCCCTGTAACTGGGACACAGGGCGGCAGGGGCAGCCTGGGTCCAGCCCCGGGGGTCCAGGGACCACTCTGGACGCAGTGTGCATATCGGCCCTCTCATCACAGGGGCTGTCAAATCTCACATCTTGCAAGATGAGGTTTACCAAACGGAGTTCTCTGCTGGTAGTTAGCTCTCCCATACTTATTAATCAAAGATTAATCAAAGTATTGGCCCCACGCGGGCCGATTAAAATCACTACTCTAAATCCATACAATTATAGGTGAAAAAATATGTTTTATTGTTTTAGTTAGACTGGGCAGGCTGATCTAGGAAAATGCCTTACTACTTTTAGCCTTAAGAAGATCTTTTGTACTGTAGTATAATATTAGCTTTTGAAAGGCTGAAAATTCTTACAAGACCCTCTTTGATGCATTTGACCTGGTCTGTCCCAAACCCACCCTGCCACCCGACCCAAACCAGCCCAGGTGAGGCCGGATACGCCAGGTTGAGGCTGATTTCGTTAACCCCTGAGAAACAGCGAAGAGTAGAATAGTAACCGTGGCTAAAATTAGGGGCCCTGGAATCAAGAGGGCCCCAAATGTGAACCCTGGGTCTGCTGTTCTGTAGCTGCATGATCTTGAGAAAGACAGGTCACTTCTCCAGGCCTCAGGCGCCTCATCTCCAAATACAGGTAATAAAGGTCCCTGAGAATTAGATGACACAGTCACTGGAATGTATTGAGCCCAGCACACGGCACACAGTAAGGGCTCCCTAAGTGGAAGCCACTGTCACCACCTCGCATCCTGGAGACAGTGCCCTTGAACCATCTCACCAGGAGGTCTGGGAGAGCCAGGTCGGAAATGCAACTCATAGTGGCTCCCTGGGGTGCCCTTAAGGCCACAGGAACAATATGTCAGGTACATCTATGGCTGAGTCCCTTGGAATTGCCCAGAAAAACAACAGTTAATTTTAGCAACTTACAGTTGTAACACAAGAGGAGCCCGGCTTCTCCGTCTTCGTACACATCAATAGCTGCCACAAAATTAACCTGCAATGGGGAGGGCAGCGGCGGTGAGCAGGCTGGACGCGACATGTTAAAAGACTTTCTCAGGTTCAAAGGTTTAGTGGGGGCCCTTAGCTTTCTGCAGACTCGGGCTCCGTGGGATCACTTCCACCTGGGGCGGCCACGATTGCAACACACAGACCGGCCTCCCCTTCCTTTCTCCACTGGGACTTTGTCACTGTCTTTTCTGCCCTTTGAGGAGCTCGGTGGGGGGCCGGGGTGGGCTCTCTGTTAACAGAACTCCTATCTAGGTAGTGCTCTGGTTCCCCAAGCTTCCTCGCAGGGGTAATTCAGTTCACTCGCACATCGGCCCCGGGGAGCGCACGGTGTTATTCCCACTTCACCGATGAAGAAAGGGAGGCTCAGTCGGTTGAGCGCCCGACTCTTGATGTCAGCTCAGGTCACGATCTCACAATGTGTGAGATTGAGCCCCGCATCAGGCTCTGTGCTGACAGTGCAGAGCCTGCTTGGGATTCTCTCTCTCTCTCTCTCTCTCTCTCTCTGCCCCTCCCCTGCTTGCATGCACACTCTCTCTCAAAACAAATACACTTATTAAAAAAAAAAGATGAGGCTCAGAGAGGTGAAGTCAGCGAGTAAGTGCCACAGCCAAAGTTTGAATGGGTCTCTGGTCCTTCGCTACCTCACCGCTCTGTACTTGAGCCAGGCTCCCCGCCGCCCCCCGCCCCAAGTGTGGAGAGTGTCACAATCTCGAAACCACTGCGGCAGGTCTTTGCTTCTATTCTCTGGCTCTCCCGCACTCGGAGGGAGGCAGCACGATGCAACAGAACGGGTGCCGGAAGACCCACTTCTGAGATCTGGGCAAACTCCCCTCCCCAGGCCCTCGGTGCCTGGTTTGAGAACACCGCTCAACCTGGTGATGTCCTGGGTCCCTCCGGAGTTCCAAACCCTGGCCCTCTGTACGTGTCCCGTTCCTCTTACTCCCTCACTTGCCTTCACCCTGCAGTCTGGCCCCCACGCGATCGGGGTCTGCCTTCTCTGGGCTCGACAAAGATTTCCTTCTTCCCAGAGCTGAAGATGTCTGGCCAATGCTCATCTCTGCCCAGCTCTCCACTGCCTCTGACCCCTGGCATCTCCCTTCCTCTCGCCCGCTCTCCTACCTCAGAGTCCTCTTCACGTCTAGGCCCTTCCCTCACTTAGAAAAACGCTCATCTTTTATGGCTTCACCTTTTACTCTGAGCTCAAAATCCCTAACCCTCCCACCTCAGGCACCTGTTCTCCTCAGCCCCTGGCTCACGTTTCTAAGCCTTCCGTTCTTGTTCTCAACCCAACAGATTCCACGTCCAAGTCACCGAGAGGCAGGAGGCGGTGCAGGGGAGCGGGTGGGAGCACGGACACTGGTCAGGCGGACCCGAGAGAAAATCCCGCCTACACCACTTACTGCCTCTGTGGCTTGTGGCAAACGGCTTAACCTCCGGCCCTAGGTGTTCACCTGTGAAAGTGGTATATAAGGATAATGCTCCCTTTGCTGGAGTGTAATGAGAATTCCACAAGACGCGGAGGAGAGTGCACAATCAGCACTATTATCTTTCTCTCATACAGGACTACCTTCCTTCTAACCTCCTCCTTTGTGTGAGCAGAGCTAGCCCCGAAGTCTCAGGGCACCCCCACACCCTAGAGCCCCGCAGCATCCTCTTCAGGGTCTCTCAGGTGTCTTTTGTGTGCCTGCTGTCGCCCCGGGCTGGGACCCGTCTCCTTCAGTTCGTCTCTCCCGCCCCTTCCAGAGTCTGTGCTGCCCAGGGCCACCGGGGCTCCTCCGGAAGACTCTCCGCCCGGCAGCCCTCCTCTTTGCGGTCGTCAACATCCCTGTGCTGAGCCCTCACTGGCCACCCTCAGCCAGGGCTTCTGCCTTGGCTCTGGCTTCCCTCCGGTGGAACCCCGGCCCCCTCCGTCTGTCATCACCTGGCGCTGTACTAGGTGCCATGAAGCACACAGAAAAAAATAAGGCAGGGTTCCACCTCTCAAGGAAAAACCAGAAAAGCATGTAAATACATAAAACGAGGTACAACGAGGCAAATGCCACAAGCAAGAGTTGTGGGTGCTTTAGAGGGGGTGGGAGACCGCGAGGCTCAAGTCTGGGAGCAGAAAGACTTGGGGGTCAAATCCCAGATAATCCCCCTTCTGCTATGTAGCAGACCCCTCTATTTTTATCATGCGCATCACGTGTGTCACTGTCTGATGCTCACTTATTTGTCCGTTTATTGGAGCCCTCCTCCCCGGGGGAACATGAGCTTCGTGAAGCAGAGGCCTCGCCTATAGATGTTCAGCACCTAGACTGGGCCTGGCACAGGGCAGGAGCAGAACTGATACTCGGCGAACGCATGACTGACTACAGGAAATCTTTGTGGCCTACTCCCATCGTGCCTCGGGACATGGCTATGGAGGCTACAGCAGGCTGGGGGTTAAGGGCACAGAATCAGAATCAGACAGCCTGGGTTCAAGTCCTGTCTCTGCTACTTATTAGCTGTGTAGTTTTGGGTCCAGTGACTCCTCCTTTCTGAGCCTCAGCTTCCTTTTCTGCAAAAATGGGGACGCGAACAGCACATTCCCTACAGGCTGTTGGGCACATTTTGTGAGATAATGTTCACAAAGTGCTCCGGCATGGGGCTGACACTCAGTCCACTGCTTGCACTTGATCATTGCCTCCTTGGGCACTCCTAACCATTTTGTTCAGACCTCTGTTAACACTCAGCACAGCGAGACCCATTTCATGCTTCAATATGTATGTTGGTTTCCCTGGAGGAAGGGCCTGGTGGGAGTCGATCTCCGTAGCATTGTTTCCTGACCAGGTGAGGACATCAGAATCAACTAGAGAGCTTTAAAAAATATATTCTAGGGGGCGCCTGGGCAGCTCAGTCAGTTAAGCATCCAACTTTGGCTCAGGTCATGATCTCACGGTTCATGAGTTCGAGGCCGTCAGCGCAGAGCCCGCTTGGGATCCTCTGTCTCCCTCTCCCCGCCCCTGCCCTGCTCGTGTGTGTGCACACACACAAGCTCTCTCCCTCAAAAATAAATAAACATTAAAAAAAGAGAGAGTTAAAAAAATATATATATTTGCTCTAGAGATCCTGATATAGTAGGTCTAGGGTAGGACACGGGTGTTAGCTTTTAATTTTCTATTTGATTAAAAATAAGTATTTCATTTTATTGGCATCTTAAAATGATAAAAGTAACATATGGTGGTTGTGAAAATTCAAAACACAGACTTGAAACAAGCCAAGTCTGCAACCCACCGTCCCCAGCCCCAGCTGAAAGTGGGAACCACTGTCGGGTCAGTGTCTGGCCTTCCCATGTGATTCTGGGGTGAGCTCCTGACTGAGACCCACTGGGTTCCAGGCCTTTGGTCAAGATGGGGACTCAGGCCCAGCAACTAAGCCAGAGACCCAGATCTCATTACCAGGTGTGCCGTCCCTTCTAGAGGACACCTTTGCTTTGGGAAAGAGGCCAATGCTGGCTGCTGGAGCCGGGGCAGTAGGTCACGATAGGCCTGCTGGTAAAAGGAACTTGATGTTGACTTTCAGATGGCTGCTCTGGTGCTTCTTAAACATTTCCTCTCTTGACGTAGGGTTCTCTTAGCCCCTGAGATGGGGCTGAAAGCTGAAATGGGAATCGAATGGGCTTGGCTGAGAAGAGAAGAGGAGTGGAGGCAGGAAACTAGGCCAGAAAATCTACACTGTGCACAGAGCAGCAGTGTGAGTAACTTGAATGACCCAGAAATGCCCAGTGACTATGGGGAGGTCGGCCTCTCTCTGTCCTGCCTCCATAGCACCGGGGTCTGTGCCGCAGGAACATTCTGGGGAAAAGCTAGCCCTGCTCCTGCAGGCCATTCCTGACTGGTTATGGGAAAACGCTTTGTTCATTACCTTGGTCATTTCCCTAGGGCTTATTTTTCC